TCAGGAAGACTGGGTGAGGAGTTGGACAACCCCCTCCCTCCTCTTCAAATCCCCACACCATAACTTCCATATTTAAGTTTCTCAGCATGTCTTTCCTATCACTGTAGTAGAAAGCCACGAAGAGTCCAGGCAGCTTGGTGCAGGAGGTACTGTGGGGCCCCACTACATCCCCAAGTCTTTGTCACCTCTGAGCACCCTTCCCAAGTGTACCTCTTAGCCACCTTTCTGCTTACTCACATGGCAGACAAGAGTGGAATTGCCATGGGGAATAGCCTCAGTACCAAAGGGAGTCAGTGGATAAACGCCCCAGCTCCCTCACTCCTGTGGGCTACCAGGATTTCCCACTGTGATTAAGCTCCAGTTGCGTTAGCTGGTTGATAATTCATCTCTCTGAGCTCTCATCCCTCCCTTCCTCTGTCTCACTTCCTGTTCTTCCAATGTGAGGTTTCCAAGACAAACTGTACCTAAAACTTTGTCCGAGTCTGTAGGAGAGACCCAAACTGAAACTTGTAGCACTAATATGAAATATTTTAATTTTATTGGTGGAATTTAATGAGGTGCTAAAAAAAGTTAAAAGAATGTCAAATGTTCTGTTACATTTTGTTGCTTTTGCCCTAATGGCTGCATTGCATTGAAACCCTTTTCACCTAAATGTGTGGCTGGAAATACTATCCTAAATAATGTTGCTCTCATTTTAAAGGACAGATGAAAGTTTTAGCTGAATTCGATACTTTTTGTAATTAAGTAATTCCTTTGTGCCCTAAATAATTTTTTAGCTTAATTAACATTTCCTGCAAGCTTGGCTTACTATGTTGCATCACTTTCAAGGGGATTAATCATATCATCTGATATCACAAATTCATATTGTTCTAGATTTAATCATTATACATGTTAAAAATAGCAATATAGTGCCAACCCAGTGGCCTTAGAACTAGTCTTACCTGCTGCAGACAACAGAACTGTGAAAAATAGGGGCAACTTTCTCTTAAAATAATTGATTGAAAAATCTTTTTTATAACTTTTCTCCTCAATAATATTAATCTCACTTGCTTGTAGCTTAACTAAATGTGTGTGTATTACGATTCTTAGGGTTTGAATCTGAGCTGTCCCCCAAAAGTTCCTGTGTTAATGCAGGAATATTCAGAAGTGAAATGATTGGATTGTGAGAGCTGTAATCTAATCAGTTTATCTAGTCTGATGAACTTGAGTGTGGTGACTGTAGGAATGTGGGGCGTGGCTGGAGGAGGTGGGTCACTGGGGGTGTGCTCTAGAAGGGTGCAAATGCCCTTGGCACTCCTCTTTCTTTCTCTGCTTCTGGGCTGCCAGGAGCTGAGCAAATTTCCTCCACCTCACCCTTCTGATTCACCTTGGGCCCAGAGCAATGGAAATGGCAGACTATAAATGAAATCTTTGAATCCGTGAGCCCAAAATAAAGTTTTTCTCCTCTAAGAAGTTCTTGTAGGTATTTTGGTCATAATGATAAAAAGGTAACTGATTGTTTAATATTATTTTGATATCACTATTCAATTTCTCATTTATTGAGAAAGAAATTGTACATGTTAAAGAATAAATATTTAAAAACAGTTTTCTATGGAAAGTTATCTATTTTTTCCTATTTAAGACAAGACAATCAAACTCTTCATAGTCATTATAAACATTACAAAATGATCTTTTAATGAAAATATTGGAATTAATTTTATTAGTAGCACTAATAACATTCATTAATTTGTGGGTCTTTAGGTTTTTTGGTGACTGAAGTTGTCAATGAATAATTCATTGGCTTGCTTGGTAACTGTTACTACTTTTCAGTTAGTTTATAGACCCACTATATCAGTTGATCATAACTGCTGCTCCATCTGTTGCATAATGACATTGAAAAAGGAAGAAAGTTTTCCTGTGGAATAATTTTTAAGAGTTTCACTTTTTGGCAACTCAGTATCCATTGTCTGTACAGTTGGAAATAAATTTTCCACTTAATGTTTTCATTTTCCACAAACCATACATTAGTTGTCAGTAAAACTTCATTGTTATTCAGATTACTTAAATTCACTTGCAACAAAAATTCTGACAGCACATTTCTTAGCTGATTTCCTACCTTTTTGTATTTCATATAGATCCTTCTACATATATCATTGCCCAATAAAATAAATTTCTTGCCATGATAATAATAACCTCATCCACACCCAGTAATATTTTATCCAATTTTGTTTAGATTATTACATATTGTTATCATTGTGCTATTCTGTAAGAAACAGGACCTTATATCAGATTAAACTTCAAAACAAATTTCAGGGACAATAAAAGTTTTAAAAAATATTTTTTAGTTGTAGTTGGACACAATACCTTTATTTTATTTATATTTATGTGGTGCTGAGGATCAAACCCAGGCTCTCACATGTGCTAGGCAAGTGTTCTACTGCTGACCCACAACCCCAGGCCCGACAATATAATTTTTAAGCTTTCCCTAAATTCCTTTTTTCTTCTGGTATTTTTTTTTTCAAATTTCTTATTGGTGCATTATAGTTATACATAAAAGTGAGATTCAGGGGCTGGGGATGT